GTTTTTCTTAACTGGCTGAGCTGGGTTTGCGCTGAGCCTAGTTACGGCAGGTTCGTGTCAATCCGATCTGCGGCGACCCGCCGCCGGCGTTCAACGTTGAACGCCGCCAGCGACCCAGAATCGGTCGAGGTTGATCGATCTGACGTTTCGGAAGCGGCCGATCGTTGAAGGTTGAACGATCCCCGCGGTGTCAGGAGCCAACGTCAGGGTCGACGCGACACGAACCCGCGGTAAGCCACGCCCGACGAGGCCGACCTGAGCGGGCTGTCGCACGGCGCGTCTGGCGCCTAGCACGGCAGGGGTCGGGGCGGTCATCCCAATATAGTACCGCGAGGCAGAAGAAGAGACGCACTGATAATCAGAAAGAGAAGCATCGTACTAATAAGAAGAATAGGAATCTGGTGGATGATAAAAGAGAGAGAGAGAGAGAGAGAGAGAGAGAAGAAAACAGGCAATACCGAGACACGTATACATACGAGATAGAGGAAGAGTAATGATGCAACAAATAATAATACCACCTCTAAGAGTACGAAAACGAAACATAGTATGAAAACCACTAAAATGAAAAACTCTTCACACTACAAACAATATGTTTAAGTTAATAAGAAGAATATTTGTACGAGTAGCAATACTACTAATAGCACACTTAATGGTAGTAATTGTGTCAACCATGTTACCAACACGGACAATCATAACATACGAGCAATATTAATATTTTGAAGAAAACGAATTTGAGTATAAATCGCATACTGGGAATCCGACACACAGTAAGACTAATAAGAACACTACTGCGCATCACGATGTGCACAATACGACGAACCATACCAATATTAGTGATACGAATCGCAGCCATTTTTTGATGGTGCTATTAATGATAGTAGTAATCATACGAAGAATAATACGACCACGGGTGATCATATTAGTTGCACTAAGAACACGAATACAGTGAATAACTAGTCCTGCTCATCGTAATGGTAGTGCGACGGCAAATCACAATACTAAGAAGGCGACGGCTAAGACGAATACTAATAAGTGGCAGTATCAGTCATCCGAAAAAAAAGAACACTATAGTACGAATGCCACTGCTGGCAACAACAATGAGGGTAATCATAACACGACTGATCATAACCAAAAGGATGATCGGCGGTCGGAGGTCGGCGGCCGACGCGGATTCCTTGGATCGGCGCTTGACCCTCTCCGTGGCACGCGGAGCGCAGCAGGGGCGGCGCCAGAGGATCCGAGAAGTCTGCGCTGAGCTCCGAACGCTGATGTTTTCCGACGAAGGCATCTATGCACTGCCACCGTGCCAGGCCAGGGCCAATCTGGGCCCCAGGATGGTGTGTAGACCCTCCTGGCCTCGGCCAGGAGGGCGTATACACCATCCTGGGGCCCAGGGTGGCCCTGGCTTGGCGCGGTGGTGGTGTATAGATGCCTTCTGCGAATGTTTACGGCGCTGTCATTTAGTCAAAAGAAGCACGCGGGCCCTGGGGAAACGGTTCTTGAAATTTTCGGCAGCCTTTTGAGTTTATGGGGCCTTTATGAGCCCAGGGGCGGTCAAGAACCAGCTCGGGATCAGGGGCCAGTTCCAGGGGAAGGCCAGGGATCCAGGTGCCGTTGCTCTGATGATCCTTTCTTTTCATGGCAGCCAAGAGGCAGACGACGTCGACGGCGCGGGCGAGCGCGAGAGCGAGAGGAAACAGGGGGCAAAGTCCATTTGGACCCGGTCGATCCGATTTGATCTGGATTTTGCCCGGCTCGATCTGATCCGGTTCCGGTGTTCCCATTCGGTCAGACGGTCTTCCGACTTCGCGTCACCTGCATGTCGTCGCTGTTGTGCATCGGAGGAGGCGGAGGAGGAGGCGCGAGGAGCGAGATGGCTGGGAGTTGGGGGAGGACGGTGGGAAGAGTATGAGGAGGAGGACAAGGAAGAGGAGGAAGAAGAGGAGGAGCAGGAGGAGGAGGAGTGGGAGGAGGAGGAGGAGGAGGAGGACCAGAGCAAATCCAAGATGCATCAATGATGCTGCATTACACCCTCTCGTCCCAAGTTTCCTCTTCCTACGTCCCTGCAAGCCTTCTCTTTCACTGCAAGAGGCGCTCCTGTGAAAGACCAGCACCCAACGGACTTGCCACTCAGGCGAGGGCTCCGTTTTGAGGAGGAACTGCCCTGCATCCGTCTGACGAAAATCATCGTCATCGCCATTACCATCGCCATCGTCATCGGCACCGTCATCATCATCAGCATCATCAGCATCAGCATCAGCATAAGCATTATCATCATCATCAGCATCAGCATCAGCATCGTCATCATCATCATACTCATCATCATCATCATCATCATCATCATCATTATCATTATCATTATCATTGTCATCGTCATCGTCATAGTCATCATCATCATCATCATCATCATCATCATCATCATCGTCATCGTCATTAGCAAGAGCTGTATCATTAGTATTCGCATTCGCATTCGCATTAGCATTAGCATTAGCATTCGAATCAGCATCAGCATCAGCATCAACATCATCATAATCACCATCATGACCATCATCAACACCATCACAGTCATCATCATCACCACCACCATCATGATCATGATTATTAGTATCATCACCATCATCATCATTCTTATTATCATCAGCAGCATCATCACCATCATCATCATCAGCAGCATCATCAGCATCATCATCATCACCACCATCATAATCATGATCATGATCATCAGCATCATCATCAGCATCATCATCAACATCAGCATCAACATCATCATCACCATCGCGCGCACACAGTCGCACAGCCTCGTCTGTGAGTGAATTGCGAGGAAGTCTTGATCGGGAGCCCCCGCCCTACGGGACCCGCAGATCATGCCTGTAATCCGAGGCGGCCGTCGGAAGACCCTATAAAAGCATAGGTTTGTTGACACCTCGGAGCCTGAATTGCGAGGAGGTCTCGAGCGGGAGCCTCGTCTGTGAGCGCTGGAGTCCCCCCATTATGGGCCAGCAAATCATGTTGGTAATCCGAGGCGGCCATTTGAGTATGGTTCAAAAGCGCACGTTTGGTGACACCTGGGAACTTGAATCCCGAGGAACTCTCGAGCGGGGGCTCCCTCCCTAGGGGATCCGCAGATCGTGCCTGTAATCCGAGGCGGCCGTCGGAATATGGTGCCACCAGGGAGCCTGTATCCAGAGGAAGTCTCGACCGGGAGTATTGTTCGTTCGAGGGCGCGCCGCTGGATCTCCCCAGGGGGGGGGGTTCGGAACCCCTCCCCCCCCGCCCCCCCTTTCCTCGATCCGTCGTCGGGGACCCCCCCCCTCCCCCCCTTCCGCGATCCGTCGTCGGGGACCCCCCCTCTCCCCCCCTTTCCTGGTCCGTCGTCGGGACCCCCCCCTCCCCCCCTTTCAAAGGGGGGGGACCCCCCCCCCCCCCCCCCCCCTCCGCCCCCCCCCCCCCCCCCCCCTTTCGCCACGCTGCCCCCTGACTCCAGAACCGACCCCCACCACCCCTAACCCTAGTCCTCTTCCTAACCCAAGCCCCTAACCTTAACCCCAACCACTAAGCCCAGCCCCAAAGAGTACTCACTACTCATTACTCACTACCCACTACTGACTACTCGCTATTCGCTACTCACTTCTCAACTTCCCCTACTCACTACTCACGACTCACTATTCACTATCCACTACTCACTACCCACCACCCACTACTCGCTACTCACTACTCCCTTCTCACTACTCCCTCCTCCCTACTTACTCACTACTCACTACTTACTCCTCGCTATCCACCTACTCAATACTCACTGCTCACTAATCAGTAGTCACAACTCCCTACTCACTACTCACTAATCACTACTCATTACCCAGTAAGCACTATCCACTATTCACTACTCACTACTCACTACTCACGATTCATTTCCCGCAAATCACTACTCACTATCCACTACTCACTACCCACCACCCACTACTCGCTACTCACTACTCCCTACTCACTACTCCCTCCTCCCTACTTACTCAGTACTCACTACTCACTCCTCACTACCCACCTACTCAATACTCACTATTCACTAATCAGTAGTCACAACTCCCTACTCACTACTCACTAATTACTACCCTTTACCCAGTAAGCACTATCCACTATTTACTACTCGCTACTCACTACTCACGATTCATTTCCCGCAAATCACTACCCACTATCCACTAGTAGCTACTCGTTACTCCCTACTCCTTACACAATAGTGACTACACAGTATTCAGTACTCATTACTCGCTATTCCCATATCCGCTGCTCAATACTCATTACTCACTTCCCGTTACTTATTACGAATTGTTTTTTACTCCTTACTCACTAGTCACTACATAGTTTCTAGTCATTAGCCACTAGTCACGAGTCACTAGTCACTACCCACTACCCATAACTCACTACTCACTACTCACTACGCCCTAATCACTACTCGCTACCCACTTCTTACTACTCACTGCTCCCTAGTTCCTACTCCCTACTCGCTACTCACTACCCGCTACTCCCTACTCGCTACCCGCTACTCATTACCCGCTACTCACTACTGACTACTCCCTACTCACTACTCACTACTCACTACGCCCTACTCGCTCCTGGAACTCGCTCCTCACTTCCCACTACTCGCTAGTCACTACTCACTACCCACTGCCCACTACCCACTACTCTCTCTGCATCACTACTCACTACACACTACCCACTACGCACTACCCACTACTCACTACTCACTACTCACTGCTCACTACTCACTACTCGCTACTCTCTACTCACTATTCACTACACACTACTCACTACGCATTACGAGCTACCCACTACTCACTACTCACGAATCACTACTCGCCACCCACCTATTCACTACCCACTACTCATTACCCACTACTCAGTACTCCTCACTCCTTATTCAGTACTCACTACTCGCTACTCGCTACTCACAACTCATTACGCAATACTCGCTACTCACTAATCACTCATCAGTACACACTACTCACTATTCGCTACTCACTACTCCCACTCCCTACCCCCATACTCCCTATTCGCCAGTTACTACCCACTACTCACTACCCAAGATTCACTACTCACTACGCACTAATTTGCTATTCACGATTCACTACTCCCTACTCCCAATTCCGTACTCCCTACACACCTTCTCCGGCGCAGAAAGGAGAAACGAGACAGGCTCCCCCTCCCCAGCCCCTTTTCCGGCGCAAAGGGGAGGAGGGGGGGGGGGTCCGACCCCCCCCCCCCTTTCCAGCGCCAAGGGGGGGAGGGGGGGGGGTCTGGAACCCCCCCCCTTCTCGGAAGGGGGGGAGGGGGGGGGTTCTGCGAGCACCCCCTGTCCTTTTCAATTACAGGGTGATCCAGTGGCGCGCTTTCGTTCTTGAGCATGTTGTGAGGATGTCTCCGGCGCTCACTCGTCTATGAGTGATGGGCCTGTTTTCCACCAACATCATAAGTTGGAGGGGGGAAAGAAGGTGGAGGATGAGGAAGGAGGAGGAGGAGGAGGAGGAGGAGGAGGAGGAGGAGGAGGAGGAGGAGGAGGAGGAGGAGGAGGAGGAGGAGGAGGAGGAGGAGGAGGAGGAGGAGGAGAGGAGACGAGGACGAGGGGGGAGGAGGGGGAGGAGGAGGAGGAGGAGGAGGAGGAGGAGAAGAAGAGGGGGAGGAGGACCCCCTCCCCCTCCTACTTACGGTGGTGGCGGTGGAAAACAGGCCCACCATGTGAGTGAATCGCGATCAAGTCTCGAGCGGGAGCACCTCCCCATGGTGTCCCCACCTCATTTAGGTAATCCGAGGCGGCCATCGGAATACCACGTGCAAAGCGCAGGTTTGATGACACCAGGGAACCCGAATCCCAAGGAAGTCTCGAGCGGGAGCCTCGTTCATGATCAAGCTCAGAGGGTGTCTCGAGCGGGAGCCTCGTCTGGGAGTGAATCGCGAGAAGGTCTCGAGCGGGAGTTCCTCCCTATCGGGTCCCCGCTTCACGTTGGTGATCCGAGGCGGCTATCGGGATACTGGGAGCCTGTATCCCGAGGAAGTCTCGAACTGGAGCTTCGTTTCTGAGCAAATTGAGGGGATGTCTCGGGCGCTCGCCTTTGAGTGAAGCGCGAGTTGGTGCCGAGAGGGAGCCCATCCTTACGGGCCCCCCGCTTCATGTTATGCACCCGAGGCGGCTATCAGGATACTTTTTTAAGTCGGGGGTGTCCCTCTACATGAGGAAAATTCAAAGTAGTCAAACAAAAACTCAGGGGACTATTTTTTGAGTATTTTTTGGCCGTTTGGGGGTATTTTTGAGTATTCTTAATTTTTCGCCCAAGACCCGCCTGCAGGGGACACGCCCGACCTAAAGATACTTTGCAAAAACAGGTTTGGTGACACCTGGGGTTACACCGGTGAGTCTGAATCTCGAGAATTTCTCCTTTGTACTCCGAGGCGGCTGTTCTCAATCAAGCTCGTACGCGTCGGCATGGGCCAGCAGATACCAGATAGGAAGAGAGCTTTCGTAGTTTACAGGACTTCTCATGTGTGGTCCTACCGTCAGGCTAACTTTCCTGTTCTACTGAAGGATCTAGGATTCATTTCGATCAGATCGGTCCGATTCGATGCCGATTTCGGCCCGCCCGATCCGATTCGAGCCCGATGCTCCGACGATCAGATGCGGCCCGATGCCTGCATGGCGTTGTTGTGCATCCTGGCGCAACCCATCCGACCCGATCCGACGCACATTCCGATTGGGCCCGGTTTGCCGATCCGATGCTGATTGATCCCAGGGAGTCGGGTGCTGTAGGAGAAGGAGGAGGAGGAGGAGGAGGAGGAGGAGGAGGAGGAGGAGGAGGAGGAGGAGGTTTCTGGCCGTCCTCGGCCTCCCGGGGGGGCTCCTCGGCGACGCCCCGGGGGCCGTCGGCAGCACGACTCGGGACGGACGCGCCAGTCCTGGCGGCACCCCCAGGGGGTCGGGACCCGGCTCCCTCGGGACCCGTCTCCTTCATGGCAGCTGATCTCAGGAGGGAAGAAAACACACAGAGACACCACAATTGATCGTCGATTCCCCAGAAGATACGGGAAACTATGGGAAGTGGGGGGGGAAGGCAGAGACCCAGAAAATATGCGAACATACGGGGAATCCTGTTATTTGCGTGTATTTATTTGTGTGTCCCAGGGCCCCTTCATGATCACCGCCCACCGAGCCACCCCAACCCAACCCGAAGGCCCCAATTTGCCCTCCATTTCCAGTGAGGGGGTCGGGGGACATGGACAAAAACACAGACTCTGGGGTTCTTAATAAGCGTGGGGGGGTGCCCCGCGACAGGGGTCCCTCGCCTCGTCGTCGCGCCGCGACGGGGATCGGAGCGCCTTCGGCGCGCGGTGGCTGCCCGCGACGGGAGTCGATGTGGGGCTGTCGGCGGGGGTGACGCCCCCCCGACGCTTATTAAGAAACTCGGAGTATGAAGCCCGTACCCCCCAACCCGACATCCGGGTCTTCGGGGGTAGCAGACGAGGGCAGACGAGGGGCAGCTGTGGCGGCGAGGGCGAGGGGTTCGGCTCGAGCAAGCCAAGCCGATGGCAGTCAAACTTCAGCCGTGGCACGCACGTGGGACCTCGAGGGCGAGGGGTTCGGATCGAGCAAGCCGATGGCAGTCAAGCTTCAGCCGTGGCACGCACGTGGGACCTGGACCCCGCACGAGGCAAAAAAGAGTCAAACAATAGTCTGGAGACTATTTTCTAAACTTTTGATTCGATTTTTGTTGATTGTTCTTTGGGGTATTGTGAATGCCTGACGGCCGCCTGAAAGACATCGACGACGACCAGGAGGGGGAGGAGGAGGAGAAGGAGGAGGAGGAGGAGCAGGAGGAGGATGAGGAGGAGGAGGAGGAGGAGGAGGAGGAAGAGGCGGAGATAAGGAGGAGGAGGAGGAGGAGGAGGAGGAGGAGGAGGAGGAGGAGGAGGAGGAGGAGGAGGAGGAGGAGGAGGATGAGAAGGAGGAGGAAAATTACTCCCCCCTGGGCCCCCCCCCTGACAGGAGGAGGGCTGGCGTGGGACAGGGGAGGGGAGGGGGAGGAGGACCCCAGGGACGGATGCGTATCTGACTCCCCCCCCTGGGACTCCTCCCCACCTGGGGAGGAGGATCCGAGGAGGCCTGGCGCGCCAGAGAAGGACCGGCGTGGGAGAGGAGGACCCCCAGAGGCGATGCGAATCTGAGCCCCCCAGGACCCCCCTCCGCCGGGGAAGGGACAAAGGGAATGGGCTTCCTTTTCACGTAATGAGGACGTGGATTGAATTCCCTCAAGCTGCGAACCCGTTCCGCGAACGAGGAATGATGCTCTCTCTCTCTCTCTCTTTCCCCCGGACGGGACCAAAGAAGGCTCCCCGTCGATGGGACGGGACAGACCCCGCACACGCCGGCAGGGTCGGCGGAATTCTAATTTCATTCCATCCAAAGTCCGCTTGTAGGGGGACATTCGCCCGGGAGCATTCGACGGAGCACGCGCCTGGGGGCGTTCGGCTGATTACCTGCCCCCTCCCCCTCGCCTGGGCTAGGGGGAGGAGGGGGAAGGGTCCATTCGATCTGGTCGATCCAAGTCGACGTCGGGCCCAGCAACCGATCCGACGTTCGGTTCGACAATCTGATGCGGCCCGAAGCCCGATGGCTAGAAGACCCATGGCGGAGTGGAGCGGCAGCACGGGGCAGTTTCTGCCGCCTCGCGCTGGCACGTCGAGGGGCGAGTTCTGGCCAGAGCTTCGTGGCGAAACCAGCATCGGCGAACAGCTCTGCCCCAGGAGGCCCTGCCGTCGTCGTCGTCGTCGTCGTCGTCGTCGTCGTCGTCGTCGTCGTCATCTTCGACGTGGTCGTCTTCGTGGTGGTGGTGGTGGTTGTTGTTGTTGGTGGTGGTGGTGGTGGTGGTCGTCGTCGTCGTGGGCAACCGCCGCCGTCGTCTTCGTCGTCGTCGTCGTCTTCGTCGTGGTCGTCTTCGTGGTGGTGGTCGTCGTCGTCGTGGTGGTTGTGATCGTCGTCGTGGTCGTGGTTGTGGTCGTTGTCGTCGTCGTCGTCGTCGTCGTCGTCGTCGTCGTCGTCGTCGTCATCCCCCCCAGTCGGCGCCGAGGCTCGGGGCGCCGATGCCGCCCAGCCCGCTGCTCACGAAACGGTCGCTGTACGCGCCCCCAGGCGCAGCGCGCAGCCGCCGTCTTTGTCGGCGTCGTCGTCGTCGTCGTCGTCGTCGTCGTCGTCGGCCTCGTTGTTGTCGGCGGCGGCGTCGTCGTCGTCGGCCGCGTCGTCGTCGTCGTCGTCGTTGGGGCGAAGAGTGGGGGTCAGAGCGGAAAACGCAGGAGAGGAACGTCAACGTCGCCAGAGGCGTGAACAGGATCTGTAGGGGGAGGTCTTCGGTGAGGAGGAGGAGGAGGAGGCGGAGGCGGAGGTAGAGGAGGAGGAGGAGGAGGGCGAGGAGGAGGAGGGAGGAGGAGGAGGAGGAGGAGAGGAGGAGGAGGAGGAGGCGGAGGCGGAGGAGGAGGAGGAGGAGGAGGAGAGGAGGAGGAGGAGGAGGAGGAGGGAGGAGGAGGAGGAGGAGGAGGAGGAGGAGGAGGAGGAGCTGTCTGGCGCTCCCCAGGGCTCCTGTGTGTCTCCGTCCGCGGCGCGGCCTTACCCCCCGGGGCCCCGATATCGGCCCGCCGGGGCCCTCACAGGGTAGCACGAGGGTGGCAGGGGTCGGGGCTCGCGTGACGGGGGGTCAGAGCGAAGGGGAGTCGGGCAATCCCACCTTTACCTGACTGATACCTTAGCACCATCAGGCGCCAAGGCCCCGCACCCTCGAAGCGACAACAGACCTTCGAGAAGAGCAGCTTCCACATGAGACCAGAGACGCGAGCCGGGCTCCACGTCGCAGAGGGCGACCTTAACGGAGACCCTCTGACTCACCCGGTTTTTTTGGGGGGCCGCGTGGGGAAGGGAGGAAGGGAGGAGGAGGAGGCGGAAAAGGAGGAGGAGGAGGAGGAGGAGGAGGAGGAGGAGGAGGAGGAGGAGCCAATTCCCCTTTTCCGCCCCCCGCTGACTCGGGCTTGGGAGCTACTGAGCGGCTGGCTGGGCTTCGCGCCACGTTGCCCCGGCCGACCAGGCTCTGTGCTGACCCAGGTGAGTGCGTCCCCGGAGGGGGCTGCACGGCCCGTTTTCCTGGCACCGCTCGGACGTGTGCGTTTTTTTCTCGGCGAGGACCCTCGTCGAGGAGCATCTTGATCATCGAGCGGAAAAAACATGCACGAAACCGAACAGTTCACGGGGAATTGGAGTCCGAGCCATGGCAAGTTTTGATCCGGTCGATTGCTTCGGTGTCGACGTTGGCCAGCCCGATCCGAGTCGAGTCCGACCGGCCTGCGATCCGAGGCGGACCGAGGTTCGCACGGCGTCAGCCGTGCAGCCTGGCGCGGTCGATTCGCTCCGATTTTCTGGCTCCTCCTCCTCCTCCTCCTCCTCCTCCTCCTCCCTTGCCAGTACGGTCCCGGCCCGACGCAGACCCCGATTTGGTTCGATATCCCGAGGCGATGTCGAGGCGGGGATCTAGACATGACCACCGCCTGGAGGATCGATTTTCGCGGGCCTCCACAGGCGGTGGGTATGGAGATATATTCCGGCTCGACTTCGAGGCGGGGATGAATGCATAACCACCGCCTGGAGGATCACAGGCGGTAGAGATGGAATATTCGGACCCCCGGGGGCCAAAACAGATCCACATCCCCCGCCCCCTGCCTGCGGGGGTGCCAGGACGCCGCTTCCCGGGCCGTGGCTGTGGCGGAGCCCCCTTCCTCGCCTCGCTGCTCCCTGTAGGGGGCCACATGCGAACCCCACCCCTACCCCCCACGATTTCTGAGGGGGAGGGTGGGGTTCACTTCGCTCGGGAGCTCCCGAAGGAAGTGAACCCCACCCTCCCCCTCAGACATCGTGGGGGGTAGGGGTGGGGTTCGCATGTGGCCCCCTGTCCCTGCTCCCGGGGGCCTGCGGCGGCGCCTCGCTCGCGCCTTCCGCCGCCCTGCGGCCCGAGGGCCCTCCCCTCCCTCGCCCTGCGGCGCCCGCTGCCTGGGGACCGGCCCGCCGGGGGGCGACTGGGGGGGGGGCCCGCCGGGCCCCGCCGCCCACGGCCTCGCCGAGGGAGGCTCGGGTGGCCCGGCCTGCCCAGGATCAGGAGGGAAAGAAACACACAGACACAATTACTCGTGGATTCCCTGGAAGATATGGGAAACCATGGGAAGTGGTGGGGAGGGCATGAACCCAGAAAGTATGGGAAAATACGGGGAATCTTTTTGTTTGTGTGTATGTATTTGTGTGTCCCAGGGCCCCTTCACAGGAGAGGTCGGGCTTCCCCATCGGGGGTTGGGATGTTCCGGCCTGCTTTTTGGCCTCGATCGCCGGAGAGAAGTTCGAGCACCAGAGCAGATGCCGAGGCTCGAGGGTTTGCACGTGTCGGGCCCTGGGAGGCACTCTTTCGACACTCTTTCGACACTTTTCCGGGTGCTCGAAATCATTTCTGGGATGTGGTCCTCAAGTACGATGAGAGAAACATAAATCGAGGGCCGATCACCGATCCACCGTCGATGCACCGCCCATGCCAAGTCCATCCCCCCCCCCGCCTTGAGCCAGTCCCCCCTCTTCCTTCTACAATTGCTCGATCTCTGAAGACCACTCTCCTCTCTCCCCTGAGTCTGTGGCGGAATCTGTCTCGGAGTGTTCGGCCCTTCGGCCCCCCCTCGCGTCTTGTTTTTTCCTCCACGCAGGATGTCGGCGAGTTGGGTTTTCGCTTGTGTCTTTTTGCTTGTTTCAAAATGCTGCTCTCGCTGAGACGCTGGCCTCATTTTCGGGCTTCCGTTCGCTCCGAATCGTGCTCCCGTTGCAGCGATGGCTTCATTTCCGCGCTTCCGCTCATTGCGAATCGTGCTCCCGCTGCAGCGTTGGCGTCATTATTTCCAGCGTCATGCCACGGCATGGTTTTCGGTCCTTCCAAATAAGACCTCAAAACTAGAAGATGGCCCCCCGAAGCAACCATCGGAAGTGATTACACATTCGGTGCCGATTCGGTGCATTTTTAGGCAGCATAGGCCCCCCCCCACTTTGGGGCGTCAGGCTACGCGTTGATCTTCAGCATCATGCTATGCCATGTAGTGCTGTGCCCTGCTACGACATCCGACTGTGCGAATAGAGAGGATTTCTACGCCATGGTAAGGGATGGGATGGAGGGGTAGGACGTCAGATGTGACGCGAGCGCACCTAGCTTGCCCTCTCCCCCTCCCCCATCTCTCTTTCCCCTCCTCCCTCAGAAGACAGCTTATGCATGAGTTTTCGGAGGTCCGCACAGATTTCTTGGGGGTCGGGGCCGGACCCCCCTCGCGGCGCCTCCAGCGCCCACCCAATAAATCCGTGCGGACCTCCGATATTTACGATTGTTCAGTCCTCTTTCACCCCTCAAATGGGTGAGATTCAGCCATGCCTGCTTGCCTGGTGTGCTCTTTCTTGGGGTTCCTACGCAAGTAGTGGTGTGGGAGTTGGAGGTAGAGACGAAGTGTTTGTTTGGCGACTCGAGATGCTCTGGGGTGTGACTTGACTCTCTTTGGTTGCTGCAGTGCGGCGGCTGGAGTGACATCGAAACCTATAACTGCACCAGCAAGGGGGAGGAGGAGGAAGAAGAGGCAGCAGGAAGAGGAGAAAGAGGAGGAACATGAGGGGCATCAGAAGGATAATGAGTTAAACGGCAGGCGGGGGTGAGGGGGGAAGCAGGAGGAGGAGGAGGAGGAGGAGGAGGAGGAGGAGGAGGAGGAGGAGGAGGAGGAGGAGCAGCTGGAGGAGGAGGAGGAGGAGGAGGAGGAAGGGAGGTAGCAGCTCGAGGCTGCAGCTGAACGATGTCGGCGGAGCCGCCGGTCGCCTCGCTCGCGCAGTGCCGGCCACACCCGACCATCGTTAATTCTCCCCGTCGCACCACCAGATGTGTCGGCAGTGCAGTCCGGTGCCTTGAGATCCTGGCGTCGCCAATTTTGCACATCGGGCGCTCCCCCCCTCCCCCCCGCCTGCGGACCCTCGAAACGGCGCAGAAAGATGGTCCAGGGCGTTGGTCCAGTGCTGTACGATGTTTCACATTTTTCGTGATGTCAGCTCTCCGGGGGTTCAATAAGCCAGGATCCTGAATCTCGGGGGAAAACAAACCTACCTCGCTTTTGACCACCCTCGCTTCCAAGAGATACCAAACGATGCCAAATTGCGGCCTGTACTGGTCAGGCTGCTTGACGAGGAGGCGCGTGGTATGGCTTGGTTTTGCCTGGAAGCGAAAGCGGGGGAGGTAATTCACGCTCTGAGAATCTCGGGATTTCCAAGAGGCGCGCGGATTGAGGGCATCTGGCTTCCAGGGTGTGGCTCTCGCCCCGTCGGTGCGCACACCGGTCTCGCAGGAGCATCGCAGCAGCCGCGCGGACTTGACCGCGGGGGGATCTCGAGATGTGGCTGTCGCCGCACCGCCTCGCGAGTGCGTCGTAAACATTTCAACGATCGGGTAGCTGCACGGGCGGGGCATTTTCAGAGGACGACTGCGCGTGGACCTCAAACGCATGATCGGCGTAGCAGTGTGTGTGTGTGTGTGTGTGTGTGCGCACCCACGTCTGAGTGGGGAGCCCTCCCTGTGGAACTGTGTGTGGAACCCTGCACACCGCCAGGGCGGCAGGTTCCGTGCCCTCGGGCGCGCGGAGAAAGCAGCCCGACGGACGATGCAGCCGCGCCCTGCAGGCGGGCCGGCAGGCAGACGGAGCACGCGAACCACGCGGCTGGAGCCTCGTTCCCTGGACCCTCCTTCGATCCTGGGACCTTCCATCCTTGGCTCCTCGATCCTTGGCCCTCCTCGATCCTTGGGTCCTCGATGTTGGCCCCTCGATCCTCGCACCCTCGATCCTGGTGGCTTGCAGGAGGGGCCCGTGGCTGCACCGCGCCCAAGGGGAGCCACCGCGGCAGCCTCTTCTGCGCTCCCAGCGAGGGGCGAAAGCGGCTCACGGCCTCGAGGTCCGCTCGAGGCACGACGTCGAGAGCCTCCGCGGGCCTCGGAGGGTGGAGATCGCTCCGTGCCGACCGGCCCCGCCGTCGTCGACGAGGGAGCCCCTCCGTGGAGCTCAGGCCGAGTGAGCTCCGTTTCGTCCTCGGGCGCTCCGTTCGCGCCTGGAGTTGACCTCCGCTGCGCTGGTGTCCGTGGACTCGGCGGGATGCTTCAGGCGGGGACGCAGGATGGGGAAGGGACGAGGACAGCGGTCGTGGACGGACAGATAATCGGATGGGGGATCAATCAACGCATGCGACTCTAATATTTCCCCCTTTTCGTCCTGAACTCCTTCCTCTCCCTTCCATTCTTCCTCTCGCTCCACTCCCTCCTCCGCCTTCACCTGCTCCTCTCTCCGCTCCGTCTGCTCATTCCCTCTCTGGCTTCGACGTGCGCCCTCCCTCTGCTGTGGATCCCTCTCCTCCAGCGTCTCCCGTCCTCTCCCTCCCCCTTGCCGCCCCTCCGCCCCTCTCTGGCCTTCTCTTAGACTGCAACTCTTGGGAGGTTCCATTCAGCATCGGCGCTGGCGTATCCGCAGTCGAAGAGGGGGCCCAAGCGGGCATCATCCCCTGGAGTTCCGCTTCGGCCAGCCAAGTCCAGTACAATCCAGCCTAACCCCGGGCTTACTCTGGTCAGGAGGGGGAAAGGCACACACAGACACAATCAATCGTCGACTCCATTGAAAGTACAGGAAAATATGGGAAGTGGGGGGGACGACGAACACCCAGAAGAGGTGGGAAAATATGGGGAACCCTGGGATTTATGTCCATGCATTGGTGTGTCCCTGGGCCCCTCTCTCTCTGGGCTGATCGAGCCTGCTGGTTTCCTGGCCCCTTCTCGTGCCCGGGAGGACCTCCGAGCGTTGCCTCCCCGGCCCCCCTCTCCGCCCGCCCTGCCGCCAGGCGCCGAGCCCCAGGCGAAGTACTCCCCCCTCTGGCGCGGCTGAGGGGTCGGGGCGCGCGCCCGGAGGGCGAGCCCTTTCTCTCGGAGGCAACGCTGGGGGCGAGCAGCTTCGGGGCGGGCAGCACGCGCACTCGCCGATGGGGCCTCGCCGCGGGCATGGACCTTCGGCGTCCCTGGACACATGTGCTGCTCTCCCCGGAGCCGTTCGCCCCACACCGTCGCTCCCGATGCTTCGGCCCCCGCGCGCGAAGCGTGCCGCGTGCGGTCGGGACGCGCGCGGCGCCCTGGGATCTCCTGGGCCCCTCCTCCTGTCTCCCCTTCCCTCGTCTCGGGGTGGTGTTGTCCTGCGGGTTTGCCACGGTGGCTCCTCTGGTCTGACGGGGCTCCCAAAGGTTCCTTTCCCTCCTCCCTTCCCTCTTCCTTCCTCCCTTCCTCCTCCCTTCCTCCCCCCCTCACTTAGATTGGATGCCCTGCCGCCGTTTGGCTCCAGCGCCGTCGTGACAACTATCGGTGCTGTACAGGAAAAGTGCCACTCTACTTACTGTGTTGTCGCGATGCTATTTCTCTCGCATTCACCACCCCCGCAATTATAGTCCTTCCTCCTCCTCCTCCTCCTCCTCCTCCTCCTCCAAAGCTTGAAATTTGCAGCGTTTCACGGACGGGGGCGGGTGGTTTTCAGAATGCGGCTCTCGCTTCATCGCCGCGCACATTCGCTCGGAAAGTTTGCAGCTGTTTCAAGGATAGAGGACAGGTGGTTTTCAACATTTAGCTTACGCCTTAGCGCCGCTCACATTCACTTTAGAAGGTGGCAGCAGGTTCAATGATGATGGGCGATTCGTTTTGAAAATGCGGCTCGCGCCTCAGCGTCGCGCACATTTGGTTCAAAACTTGCAGCAGTTTTAAGGATGGAGGGTGGCTCGTTTTCAAAGTGTGGCTCTCGCCGTAGCGCCGCGCACATTCGTTCTAGAAATTTGCGACAGTGTCAGAGGCTCGTATGCTTGAAGTCCCAGGAATGGTGGTCTGGCGCGATTTAGGATTGTCAGCACGCAGTATTCATGCTGATTCGCGGTGTCGAACATCCATGAATGGTAGTCTTGGCACGATTTGGGATGGTCTGGACGCAACAGGCACGTTGGTCCGCAGCGTTGCAATCCCAGGAATGGTGCTTGGCACGAGGAGGCTTCTCGGACGGTTGTCACAGGGAGGGGGCGGGGGATCGCCAGGGTGAAGGGGAGGGTGGCGCCAGCGAGGCGCAGGGCTCGCATCGGTGTGCGCTCCCCCTCCCCCGACGTCCGATAGTCAGATGTTTTCAAGACGGGGTCCCCGGAAGTGCCGCCGACCGTCTCCCAAGGGCCGTTTTTGTCACCGCGAGGCGTCCTCGGGACTCGAGAGAGACGGGGCTCATCGTGCACAGGGGGGTCAGCCAGGGCGCGGGAGCTCGCAGGATCCAGCGGGGTCCGGGGGCGCACCGACTGGGGCCTGGGCGCAGGATCCCGCAGGCCGGGTCTGGCTGGACCCGGGCCAGCAGCTCCCCGACGCTTCTTGACGGTCCCGGGCGGGGCCCAGCGAGGGCTCCCAGAGGCCGCGGGCCGCGTGCGGACGGCCACCCTCTCGTCGTGGCTTCGCCTCGGCGGAGGCGCGCTCGGGGCCGGAGCCGTGCCGTCGCCGCGGTGTCTCCGGCCGCCGCGGCGCGTCCCCGTCGGCGCCGGCAGCCCGCTCTCCGGGAGAGGGCAGCTGGCCGGTGCCGCCAAGGCCGCAGGGGCCCCAGGAGGCTGCTGACCTGGACCTCGGCACCCTGAGATCCTGGCGGCTGGATCTCTGCGAGCTGGGCGCTCGTTCGCCTCGTCTCTGGCCCAGGGGCCCTCCCAGGTCTGCCCGGCTCGGATGACGCAGGAAGATGGTGTCTGGGGGTCCACTCTCAAGTCGGGCCTGTCCCTCTACAGGAGGAATAGTCAAAAATAGCCCAAAAATAGTCAGGGGACGATTTTTTTGACTATTTTTGACCATTTAGGGGATATTTTTGTTGAGTACTTTTTATTTTTGTTCGCCCAACATTCCCCTGTTGGGGGACACGCGCGACTTAAGTCCAGTCGTGATTTTTGGTGATGCTGCAATTTTGAAGCAACGTCGGATCTCAGGGTAGGGGCCAGCTCCCGGCAATGCATGCCAGACCCGTACCTCGGTAGTCATCACCCACCCAGCCACCCCAACCCAACCCGAAGGCCCCAATTCGCCGTCTTCTCCGAGGAGGTCGGGGAACATTTGCAAAAACATATATGAAGCCCGTACCCCCGCCCGACCCGAAATTCGGATCCTCGGGTTGGGTTGGGGTGGTCTGGTATGTAGTCGGGTAGATGCCGGCTCCCAGCCAGGCGTGCTGGGTCAGCGGCACCGTAACGGGTACTCACTAACAGTTACTTTGAAAAGTTGCCGAAAGTTACCATTTGAGTGCCTCTTTCTGGCATTGCAGCGTTGCCTACATCGGGGAGGGTTGGGTTCGCCGGGTCACTGGCCAAAGTACCCGTCCGTGGAGTCCCCTTTAGAGGGGCGCTGACTGGGAGGCCACGTCCAACGCGATCTGTGCCCAAAACGGGCCTGGGGAGGGCCTGGTGGTGCTGGTCTGTTTTCGCCCCCCTCCCTTCATGGAGAACCGTAGCCCTAGTAACACAATGATGGCGTAGCCTTAAGTCGGGCACGTCCCGCTGTTCAAAACTTGTAAAAAATAGTCGGGGGACGATTTTTGAATATTTATGGCTAGTTTTTATGTTTCTTCCAAAATCCGCCTGTCGGAGGACGCCCGACCTAACCCCTAACCCTAGTGACACACTGCAGGCGTAGCCTAATGTAGGTTCCCTGTCTTGCGTTGGGGGTAACAGATCTGAGTGGTTTGGTTTGATACATCTGCCGGGCAGATCCCCCATCCCTACCGTCTTCGGCCTCTCAACTTAGGTGTGCTCCCAACGGGTTCAGGGTCTCTTAATGGCCAGTCCTCCCTCTCTCGGAGAGGGAGGCTAGAGTCTAGAGGTTGGTACCAGCACCAGTATCGGCGGTTGCGTCCACCGAGCGAGAATTTTCTCGATCCTGGCGATGGCGGCAACATTCGGGCCTCCTGGGTGGCCGAAAGACTGTTCCCCACCGCGGGGGCCCCCCTGGTGCTGGTGTTGGTGCCCGCCTCCAGGCCCCCGCCTCTCTCCTTCCCGTCCGTCGGCGACGAGCATTGCCCTGGACCTCCAGGATGGGGTTCGGGCAGGTGGGGTCGTAGGGTCGCGCCGCGTCGCCGATGCATTGGCGATACGGCTCGATGTGGGCCCCGATTTTCACCATGCCGACGGCGTCGATGCATCGCCGACGCCGCCGGTGCAGCGCCGATGCATCGGCGATGTATCGCCGACGCGTCGGCGGTGCGGCGCGACCCTCCTGCCCCCCCCTACTCCGTGCCCTCGTGGTCTGTCGGTGCCACCGCGAAGCGCATGGACGCGCGCTCCGCGCGGGGCACCCGCGCGCGCTCCGCGGATGCGGAGCGCACGCCCGTGCGCCCGTGGGGCCCCGCGGCCGAGGGTCACCGCTGCTGAGGCTCTGGGCTGCGCACGGGCAGCCCCCCCCCCCCCGAGGTGGTCCGAGCGGGCCTCCGCAGGCCCTCCCGAGCCGTCCAGCACGCGGCACCGGCGGAGAAGAGCCGACCCCGACCGCTCCGCAGCCAGGGAGGGGGGAGGGTCTGGGAGGAGTAGGAGGAGGATCGAGGAGGATCGAGGAGGAGGAGGAGGAGGAGGAGGAGGAGGAGAGGAGGAGGAGGAGGAGGAGGAGGAGATCGAGGAGGATCGAGGAGGATCGAGGCGGAGGATCGAGGAGGAGGAGGAGGGGAGAGGAGGAGGAGGAGGAGGAGGAGGAGGAGGAGGAGGATCGAGGAGGAGGAGGAGGAGGAGGAGAAGGAGGAGGCTTTGGGCTGCGCGCGGACAGCCCCCCCCGAGGTGGTCCGAGCGGGCCTCCGCAGGCCTGCCGAGCAGTCCGGGGGCGGTCTCGAGACCCTGGCGGCCCCTCCGGCAGGGCCCCATGGGGCGCTGCGCGCCCCGGGGTTGGAGTGTTGAGACCGCCTCAGGCTACTCGGGGGGCCTGTTGGGCAACGATAGGGGGGGTCGACCCCCGATCGCCCATGGATCGCCGATCGGGTCCCTGCAACCCCAACCTGCCCAGGAAGGTGCGGATTCTTTATGGGAGGCCTATCGCCGATCCATCGGCGATGCATCGCCGATTCCAGGTCGATGCATCCCCCCTGTGCCAGTCGCCCCCTATCGTTGTCCCCAAGTCGAGGCCAGCTGGGACCACTCGGGCGGGCTGTCCGTGCGCAGCCCTAGGCCTCACCAGGCGCCGCTCGTCGCTCGTGGCGCCGCGCGGCGGCACCCGCCCGCTGACTCGGCGCAGCCGTAGGCTGCCGCTGTCCCGTGCGGCGGGCCCTGGAAAAGCTGTGCGCGCACCAGTGCTCGGCGTCGGAAGTAGGTATTCTTGGATTCCCAGATTCCAATCTACCTCAATGGTCAAGTGGCTTCACCTTTTCCGTCTACCTTGGGGGGCGGACGGAACCCAATCTGCCCTCAACGCCTTCCCACTTCATGTTTCTACCTGCTTCTTCCGACCGATGGGTAACACTGCGTGAGCGTCGCCGCCCCATGGGCGACTCACTTCACTCAACACCCACCAAACCACCCCAACCCAACCCGAATGCTCAGATTTACCCTGGATTTCCAGTGGGGCGGGGGTCGGGAAACATCGAAACAACATATGTGGAACCCTTACCCCCCAAACCCGAACTTCGGGTCTTCGGGTTGGGTCGGGGTGGTCTGGTAGGTAGTCATTCACAGCGTCTTGATCGCATGACACCCCCAAACGTGGAACAGACGCTCCCAACGATCTCTTGTCTGCGACATCGCGCGGGCGCCGACTGAGCACGAAGGCGAGAAAGGCCGCATCTTGCAACCGAGCAGCTCTTCACTACATCGTGGGTGCCCAGTTGTAGGCACGCGGGCGACGCGTCGCGAGAAAAGTGGC